AGTTTCTGCCATTAGCAATCCCTGCAGACCTGAGCCTGGGATGCAAGGTGCTGCTTCTGCTGATGTTAGCAGAAACCTGAGGAACTCTGTACCTTTTAGGAAATGCTGGGCATCTCACAGAACCTGTCCCCATTTTTTTTTTTGCAGTGAGTCTGTACTTGTTTGGGGTTTTTTTGTCTCCTTCCAAATATAAGCAATGTACATTTTTGTATTACACTTTTTTTCCCCTAATAGGAGAGAACAACATGATTCTGGGTCTGTCTGCAGGCATGTGAGGCTGCCAGTAGCTTGCATGGAGTACTTTTTTAATGGAAGTGAGGTTGGTAACAGTTGGATAGGTTTGTAATAAAAGACTTCAGAAATTAAGAACAGGTTTAATTTACCCGATAAATATGCATGTAACCTATTATCTTCCAGTCTTCACTTTCCATTTTTAAAGCAATGTTCTGGTTTTGGACAAAAACCTGAAACCCCTGTTGTGCAAGTACAGTGCAGGGATTAGTGTATGCTTAATCTATTAAATTCATATGTGGTGTTTGAAGTAATTATAAATTGCTGGCCGGAATGTTAAAGCTAGTCCATAGAAATCGAAGAGATTTTCACATCAGTATTTGAGGATGCACATAGCTATTGATAACAGGACTTGCTAGTGACAGGCAGGTACTTTGGGTGCCAGCACTGGGATGTGCAGGTAATTAAATAAATGTATCTAGAAAGCTTCTCTCAGCAGTGCGTGCTGAATAACTGATTTGACAGCACATGATGAGCTAGAATTTCTAGAGCACTGTTGATCTGCAGCCTGAACTGGGAGGAAATTGTGATGCTCATAATTTATTAGAAGAGACATTAACTCTTTCTTTCTGTGTCTGAGTGAGACATTTGAATATTCAAGTATGCACTGAGCTCAGCCATTGTGGCCCATTTCTGTTCATTTCTAGTTGGCAGTGTTGCACCAGGTACCTGTGGTTGTACACATGACTGCTTCTCCTGTGATTCTTCTCCTTCATGGGACTTCCTAAAGATGCAGAAATAACACACAACCCCTTTTTATTTTTTAATTGAGAAAAATTTGCCTGCATAGAACTCAAGAACAAAAATAGAGATGTGAAGAACCAGGTGTCCATGCAAGTAGGCTGTAGGAAGGCATATTTAATTGCACTTTCATTTAAGGGACAAAATTTCTAGTACTCTTGTGCCTGTCTGCACAGGTGGCTGGGCAGTCCTGCTCATGGTTTGCTGGCTCTTGTCTTGCACTGCACCTCCAGCCCTGAGCTGGTTGTCTCATTTGCATGACAGGAATCTGGTGTTCCCCATTCTGTGCATGGGCCATGTGGTTGTAGGGGAGGTCCTCAAAGTGGCTGGGAACACTGTTAGAAACTGCATTTCTTCTGGAAATGCAGCAGAGAAGAGATTCTGGAGAGCTTGTAAGGAGGTAACATGAGAAGCTGGGGTGCTTTTGGTAAGGATGTAAGAGGAGGAATTGCTGACATCCTGACAGCCTAAAAAAGTGTTTGCTTAAGCACATGGCCAGTAGGGAAGCAGCTAGGAGAAAGTACGTACTGTCCTGTGTTTGTATGTAAGCCTTGCTCCCAGGTTTGTCACATCTTCATCCAGGCTCTGTTTTCCCTGACCCATGCCATGGAAGTTGTTTTATTGCCACACGGGTCCAGAGGTGTTTACTGCTTTTGACTGCCATGTGTAGCAGGAGGTACAAAATTAATCCCAGATGTGTTTTCTGGAGCTGGGAAACATAGATATCTCAGACAACTGAGAAAATGAAGCATAAATTCAGGATGATGACCCAACTGACTGACCGAAAACTTCTGGTGGATACAGTTTGTACCTCATCTGAACATGCAGAGGCAGCTTTCAGCAGTAAAAAGAAATAATATTAATTTAGTTTGTTGAGGGAAATGAGGAAAGGGAGGGGAGGCACCTTAGTCAGTGTCCAAGAAGCTGGCTATTGAGAAGTGTTATAATCAGGTAAGGAGGCAAAGTACAAAGCATCCCTTGCAGTGCTGTAGTGTTACGCAAGTGTTAAGTATGTGTCTGCCTCACTGAGAAACATATGGGTACACACAGATGCACACCAGAAGAAAGAGATCTTTCTGAAGGTTTCTCTGCCAAATGTCCAGGATGTAGTCTGATACTGGGGCAAAATGAATCTAAGGCAGAGGAAGAAAACTTCACCTGGGAAAGAGGGGCTTGGGTTGGACATACCAGCACTACACAGGGAGTTTGCACATGGAAGCCCAAGACAACAGAGATGACAAGAGCGGGACATTTTGATCTGAAAAGACAGCTGATCAGTCAAGTAAAGAAACCAAACAATGCTGGAAAGCTCATCTGAAAGCCCCAAGCTCAGAGGTCTGAGCCTGCCCAGGTCCAACCCAAAGGCCAAGAGTACAGACGTGTGCAGGCTCCTGCGAGCCCAGCAGAAGGACTTGTCTAGGCTGTAGGTCAGCTGACTGGTGCATATTCATGCCTTGCAGTAAAATTATTTAAACACACATTAGCTCCTTGGCTTTGCAATTATATTTTTATTATTGACAAGATGTTCTGCTTTGCAGGGTCATGAATATTTTCTTTGAGTCACTAGATGTCATTGGAGTTACTCAGCCCTCAAACTAGCTCCTCCCTGTCCCACCAAAGACATGCGTGGGACTTGTAAAACATGCTCTGGATTGCCATATTGCTTAATTATCCTCTTAGCTCTAATGGAGTGCACCCTGACTAATGGTGCAGTCACAAACAACATGTTCCTATAATTTGGGCCATCACCAAGAACTTCTGTTATCACTAGACTCATCAAGGTAGTGCTTCAGAAAGCTGAAGGGCAGTGTTGCCTAATAAAAGCAAACATTTAGGCACCAAGAACACAGCTGGAGGGGACCAGTGCCCTGACATGAGCTGTGTTCACAGCATGTCTGAAAGCTCTGCCATGCAGGTGTCTGGCGGGAAGAGCTGGGTGTCCCCTAGGAGGCCAAATTCTTCTCTTGCATTGCTGCAATCCCAGAAGACCCAGAGTATTTGCAGAGAAGCAGCACCGATTGCTGAAGTAACCAATATTTTTTGTTTTAATTTTGTCCTGTCAAGCCCTGTAAAGGTAAACTGGGCTGTATAATGGAGAGTGCTCTGTCTCTGTTTTCAAAATGGGAAGAAGAGCCACCTAATGACCTGTCGCTTTTCTGGATTTTTTTTTTTTTTTATTTTATTTTTTTATTAAGGTTGTCAAACATTGATCCAAGGTGCAAGGATACTGTGGTTAGATGAATATGGGCTAGAGTTGGGACTGGGGATCAAAATGCTGCTGCACAGTTGTTTTGCAGATGTCAAGGGCTCCTGAGAGTCATCAGTCAAAATTCCTTACTCTCCTGTGGTGGCTTATTGACGTGAGCTCTCTCATCCAGTGACATATCCCTCTCAGGATATGGCTAAATGATCCTTTCCAGAAAGGACTTATCCCAGCTCTCACAAAAACACTTCTGAGGCACAAGCTTTTGGCCTTCAGCCTGGATTGGACTGCAAGTACATGGGAGGTATTTCCCAAGCGACTCCCAGGGAAAGATCTGTGCTCTTCCCTTCTCCCACCAGATCTCTGCCTGTGCTCATAACATCTTACTTCAAGCCAAATTGAACTGAATGCTCAGCTAATGGAGAAGATACCATTTTTTTTCTGAGTGAGGTAGAAATACCCCTTTCCCCCAATGTTGTGTATAAATGCATGTCCTGGGTGGTGGCATTTCTTGCACTTCAGAGTGAGTGTCTTCATGGACCTGAGCTGGGGGTGGGAAAAACAATCCTCTCTTCTCACTGGTCTCCCATCTTTCTCCTGCAAAACCCAGGATTTATCATGTGTCAAGGGGATAATTTCTGTGGAAGCCCAGAGTTTAAAAAAGTATATTGGCTGCAGTGAGAAGGTTCAAGAAGAGTTCAGATCCGGACCAAACTTTGAAGCGATTTCCTGCGTTGGTAATGGACTGGGGGAAAAAAAAGAAATCCTGGCTCTTTTAGGGGAGCTTTGGATCTGTATCTGAACTTTGCGAGCCTGGCCTTTCCCTATGTAACAGAGCTATTTTTCTTGTACTCTGAATGATGTATTATGTATAGTATGGATGTTTATATGTATTTTCACCTCCAGCTAACAATACCTGCTTGAATTTGTTAGGACTATTTTAAAAAAGTGCTGAAGGGAAGAAAATTGCAGAGGGCACTGAATGGCTGGGTATGTTGTTGAATATTTTAAATCTAAAAGTTCCCTCTAATGCAGCTTTGCTGGTCTTGACTTTTCTTGCGAAGGAAGGGGCGTGTTCACTCCAAAGGAGTCAATCAGAGCTGACTGGGGATCCCACATGCTCTCGGTCCAGGTCTTGCAGCCCCCAGTCAATATTGCCCTCAGCCCTAATGCGTTTTACTCCAGCTCAGGATCTGACCCCACTTGTCTGGCATCACAAATCACCATCCAGCCTTTCTCCCCACTTCCCATATCTCCGGGTTTCGCCTGTCAGCTCCCAGTTGTTGTTTTATCCAGCTCACTTTGCTGCAAGTTTACATAGAGGGTGATAGTTTTGTGGGTAGATTTAAGGAGACCAGCAGATTTGTGCAGAACTACTGGATGTTGCTGTAGGGGAGGTTTGCATTTTGACGATGAAAGCTGGCGGTTTTATACAGCAGTCCTCTTTGAAAAAGGGTGATGGCTCGGCGTACAGAGCTTGTGCCTTGGACCTTCCAGTTGAATGATGAACAGAAGTTGTATTTACATGTAAATTAAAGTCTGTCCTCTGTTAACATTCCAGTTGCTTCTGCCTCTGGACTTCTCATCTATTTATCATTTGTGTGCACTGTGGGCACAGTGGGAGTGAGAGACGTGTTTACCGTCACTATGCTGCTTTTAAATTGGGCTCTGTAAATTGGCTGGAGATACTTGCTCTTGCTTTGGGAGTCTCCAGACATGGTGGTTGGTGGCATTGTCATATGACTTGTGCCTTTTGGTTTCTCAGGCAACAGCATGGGGTTCAGATGAAGACACCAGGAGGTCCTGTCAAAGTAAAGGGAAAACAGAGGTAAGTTTTGCTTTGCTACAGTGATGCTATGGGTAAATTTGTTTGCATCATGTGAAATCCACACAGGGAGCATCTGCCACCAGCCTGAGCTTGTAAATTTGCTGCAGTTTAGATCCACCATCACAAGTGTATAAGCACCACCGAGCAAGCCATTTCAAAGGCCCCCTGTCCAAGTTATTAGACTTGCTCTGCATGAAATTTAAAGGTTATTTCACTGCTGGAGAGGACAATTTGTGACACATCAAGGAGCAGAATGGTGGTAAGCCAGGGGTAACATCTTGTAGTGGGGTCTGAGGCTGGGCAGGTTGGCTTAGTCTTGGTATTCAGCAGTGAGCCACTGGCATTCGGCCATGTGGGCTTCAATGCTTGTTTGCAGTTAGAGTTCATCTTTGTAGAATTTGCTTGAATATGAGAATTGAATCTGCTGGCACACTGCTGTCTCTTCAGGTGGAATATCACAGACCTCCTTTGGAGGCAGGTGCAGGCTGCAGTTTAAAGCAAGAATTGCTTGAACCAAGGCATGCTGTCCCAGAAGTCTGGAGTTTGCAGACATTTCTGATCCAAACACAGGTTGTTTCTGCCCCTCTTCTGAGAAACTAAAACAAAGCCATCTGTCTAAAAACACGAAATATTTTGATTTTTCAAATGTGGTATTGGTACTGTATACGTGGCACTTCAGGACACGGTTTAGTAGGCATGGTGGTGTTGGGTTGATGGTTGAACTTGATGATCTTGGAGGTGTTTTCCAACCTTAATGATGCTATGATTCTATGATTCTTTAAAAGTCTTCAGGCTTCAACTGAGAGGGTGTCCTGTTGTCCTTAATACTACATCATAAAAAGTTCTCAGTCTAAACCAAAGGAGTTGGACAAAGGATAAGACAGAATAAGTGTGATCTTTGCTTCGACTTGGACAGTCAAGCAGAGAGTGATTGTGTGGCTGGCCCAAAATGCTGGAATTATACCAAGTTCCAGTTCAGTGCTTTAAAGACAGGATTATATGTTCATCCATTGACCATGTTAATTTTATATAACAAACTTCATGTGATTACTGTATTAACATGTATATACACAAAAAACCTAGCTTGAATTTTGAAAGATAGGCAACAATTTGCTTCATGCAGCTGTGGAGGAGTATGGGTATCCTAGAATATGTGTTAGAGTTTCATGTAGGACCTACGTTATACAGTAGAACACCATGGAGGCAAAATGGGCTGGGGTGGGTGAACACCAAACATGGGCAGCCACTAGAAGAACTCAATAGGAGTTGGACAAAATTAAAAACCTCCAAAACCCAAGACACAGGCAATTTTTGAGTTTGGAGTCTCTGTACTTTAAAAGAAAGGGTTTTGTTCTTTTCTTCCATTGTAATGTTTGTGAGATTTAAATTGTATCCTATTGTTCATGAACTTGAATTTATAACCCAGAATTATTTTGTCAAATCCTGGATAAACCCATGCATTTGACTGGAAAAATTCTAGGATAATTTCAATTTATCTTTATTACTGTCATGCCAAAAGAAAGCAATGGTCTGAGTATCTTCACTGCTGCTCCCTCTTCACATTGCAAAGAGTTTGCCAAAAATTTCATGAGGATAATGCTCTGAACAACTAAGTTTATGCTGATTGTTATCCTGAGCTTGAAATTGTTTGGTGGGTGTTGTGGCCATGGGTGTGAAGTTTTGAGGAACAATAATTAAGCAGAATATTAGACACTTCTTGATATAAAATAATGGCAAACAGAGGTGTTGACTAAGAGTCTGACAAGAAGACCTGAAGCTACAAAGGCAGAAGGATTCTGCAGTAACTAAGTAAACTCAGATCTCCCAAGTCTGTATCTACTCTAACTTGTGTGTCCATGGCTGAGTCCCTCTTTGGGGGAGTCTACGCATTCATTGTTACACTGCAGAGAAATGACTTAGTGCTAGCTCCAAAAATACCAGGTTTAGACTAGCCAGATGGTGAAGTGCTCTGCTCCAGCCAAGAAGTCCAGCTCTGACCAAACATCTCTGCCCTTGGCTGGGTAAATGCAGCAAGTTAGGGCAGCACTAATGCGAACACTTCTGATTCTGCTGTGCGAAGGTGGTACAAGATCCAGAGCTCTGCCTGCCTCAGCTCTGCTTTGTCAAAACTTGACTAATGGCAGTTTTCTACCTAGCACAGATGATTTGATGATAAATATGTTATGGATTGTCAGGCACTTAGATATGTGGTGATACAGGCTAGAAATAAGGAGGACCTTTGGCTCTTACATTAATTCACAGTGTAGTTTGCCTAAGTTATATGACTGGTCCATTTTCCTTGCTGACTTAATAATGTGTGCATTTTTAGGGTGAGGTTTTTAAAGCCACCTAGTATATTAAAATGTCTTTTTCCCCTTCAGTCTTGTGCCTGTTGAGTATCTAAATCAGATTTTTCTAAAATTCTTAGAGCTTTGCCATAAGGGAAATAACAAGTGCAAGAATAAAAGCCACAAAATGAATATCACAGAAGTATAATTATTATGGCATGATGGTTACTCGACATTTGAGTACCTATTGGCCAGAGAAAAGGGAGATGAGAAATCTGGCTCTCAGATTTGAGGTTAGAAGGTACAGTTAGTTCATTTTTTCTGACACCCCATGTAGCTCTGGCCACAAATTTCAGCTGCTTACTCCTAAATAGAGCTCAGTAACTTGTGTTTGGCTGCTGCACCTTTTCCAGGAAGGCAAAAAGTTTTGAACTGAAGGCCTGAAGCAAATGGGCTGACTGTGTGCTTTGCTGGCTCGTTCTAACGGCAGATCACCTTCCCTGTTAACACCATGGACTTTATTTCCTCTTTGCATCTGGCTTCAGTTTTGAGTGCTGGGTCTCATTTTGCTCTTCTCTGCTAGGTTAGAGAGGCCTTTAGTTACCAATATTTATTTTTTACAAAGGCACTTACATGCTCTTGTCAAATCAGTACTTAGGCTTTTTGATAAGGTAAAAAGCTGAGTTCTTCAAGCCTCTTTCTCTAAGTCATTTTGCTACTGCCCTTGAATATTTTTTGTGTCTGTTTTCTGCACACTCCAGTTTTTCACCTGTATTCCGTTGTCAATCTCTCTAATGTTTGAGTATGATTAAATCAGCCTTCTACGTCTTCCTCACCCTCCTCTCTTCATAGGCCTGGCAATTTCACAAGCTCTGCTGTTACAGGAGAACATGGAGAATTGCTAAGCCACTGTGATCACTAAATCCTTCTCACAGTTGCTAGTCCTGGGATGTAATCTCCCAGTCTATACATAGAGCCCTTTTGTTCCTTGCTCTTTAATGCATAATATCTTAGAAAAATTTATTTTGTTTGTTGGGTTCAGCTCACCAGCCTAGCATATATCACTAAATATATATATATAGTGTGTGGCTTTGGCCTCACTGGTAATTACTATTTTCATAATATTTGGGTTATCCACAAATGGTCGTTAAGAAAAATGTTGATGCTGGGCTAGTACCACCCCGTCTGGGACCCTGCTAGAGTAGCAAGTTTGTGAATGATCTCACTCTGAGGACTTTTTTTCAGTCCAGTAATTTATCAGGTTTTAATCCATTAATGTATATGTTCTCGAACCTGATTTTAAAATTAACTCTCCACAATATGTCATGTGGTATTAAAACAAACACTTCAGAAAAGTCTCTCTTATTTATGTCACATTTATCAATCCAAACTTGTGGTTTCCTGAAAGAATCGTGTATGCTTTATTTGCCATGTCTCTGGCAGTCCATGCGGGCTTCCACTAGTAATCATTCTTATTTTTGCAGCATTTATAAAATGTATCCTGATCAGCGCCTTAAAACTGTCCCCTGGAAAACAGCCACATTACTGAGAGACAATGCAGAGAACAAAGCCAGTGTTGCGCTGCCTTTCTTTCTGTCTTGCAAATGATATCACCCAGAGGTTGTAGTTAAAACGAGTGATGGAGAGAGCAGAAGGAGGTGTATTTAATTTCATTAGGAGTTGCTCAGCTTCTAGTTTGTAATTGGTTTGTCTCTGCATAATGGTCCACATCCACCACATCTAAGGAATTTTGCCTGGCACGGAAAGTTGTGGCTTTCTAAACAAGACCACTTTGGTCTTTCTCTTGTCTAAGCACAGAATTATTTGTTAACTTTCCAAAAGCAGCACACTGTCATCTCAAAAAGTGAAAGGGAACAATTTGTGAAAATGGCAGTCATCCAGCTCTTACATGCTGTCCTAAGAGCTTTGTGTAGCCAGGAGAAAGATGATGCACTAATAACACTTCTTGAGCAAGAGGAACCAAGAGAAACATCTGATAGGCATCCAGCTACCGGCTGTCCCACCATACTGCCAGTATAGTTTCTTCCTTCTCTTGTATGATGTCCTGATACTGGGGGAGTGTCTCAGGATTCTCACAAGGTTACAGAGAAATCTTAGCCCAAGGCCAGAGCCCACCTAAAGGGGTTTGGAGCTAATGGAGGAATCTGCTGTTTCAGGCCTTCAGGTGGCTCTGTGTCACACAGAGGATGTGCGCTCGGTTACCTAGTGGAGCTGGGAATCTCCACGCCACTTACGAAGAATAGGCATCCAGGTAGGACAGGCACCATATAAATCCCCAGGCAAACAGAAATAACTGGGAAGCAGTCAGATATTTTTTCTCTCTTTGTAACTGTTCCTAGAGATCTAAACCTACATTCCTAGCACTTCTGCTAAACTGTCAATGCAGAATCAGCCCCCAAATGTGATTTGAAGTCCATTAAAGAAAACTTGGCTGGAAAAATCATTAGCAATTCTCTTTGCTATCTGTTGCACTCAAAGGAGGACAGCTTGGTCAGGGTATTGGCTTAAACGGATTAACAGAATTGTTTGTCCAAAGAAATAAATATAGATATCTGAAAGCATGTTAATAACAGTGCTCGAGAACATGTTATGTCTTGATTATTTTTTAACAAATTGGGATGAACTACAACAGATAAATATTTGCTGTGCTCTAAACTGTTGTTGAAGGGGCAACATGGGAGTTCTGCTGGCTGATCTCTGAACTGCAGGTTGTGCTCCAGGAGCTTGTGTTTCTTTTCTGGGGACAACAGAGCATCTGAAAAAGCTGTTTTTCTCATATAGCATGTAGCTGTGTTTTTAATCTATGATTAAAATATATCAGTATGTGATGAAATAGTATTAGCCTAAAGAAAAAAGAATTTAAAAGGAGATCTCTGAAAATAGAACTTGAGTGATTTATTCAAAGTAAAAGGGCAATTAAAGTAATGCCTATATATGGTTATGCTTTCAAAGAAAAATACATCTGTACAATGAGATTAACGGCTTATAACATTTCAAAACTCCAGTGTTCAGAGATGACAGGTGGAACGTCTCGAGAAGCACCTACAGCTGGCTTATTTGCAGTATCCTGAAAATGGTTTTTTTTGAATTTTACCTCAAACCAAAGTTGTCTGGATTTCAGCCCCTCTGTTTGCTGATCTGCTCACATGAGCGAAGGGAGTAACAGGGCACCACTCTTGGTTCTCAGGTTTGAAATGTGCCTTCAAAGCAGCCTGACATCTGTGTGAGCTGGAAGGAGGCCTGGTCCTGTCTACAGTTGTGGACATTACAGCACTCACAGACAGACTCAGATTTAAATCTAAATATTGCAAAAACTGCAAAAAAATGAGGATAGGCTTAAACTGCAGGTGGTGGGGGCTTCAGAGAAGTTCATTCTCTTAGTGACTGTGCCCTGTGGGGTTGAGCTTTAGAAGTCATGTGCTCTTTCTTTCCAGGAAAACAGGGGTCATTAGTCTGGAGAAAAGTGATGTCTGCTCAGTTTAAGGCCTGATTTCAAAAAGGGACCAATACCAGGTAATTTTGAGGAATGAGCAAGAACCCCAAAGTGGTAGGAAAATCAGAGATATGCTTAATGCTCTGGCGAGGAGCCACAGGTTTTTATCAGCTCTGCCATATATTTAATAATAATCCCAACTAATATAACTAGGTTATTCTCATTAACCATATAAATACCCAGCCTTCCCCCTTTATTTAAATCCTTAATCTCTTGATCCCAATAATATCTTCTGGTGATGAGATTTGCAGACTGATCATACACAGATCCGACTGTCTGCTCCATAATGTGAGAGCAGGATCCAAGTATTGTCTCGTCTGGACGGAGTTGGGTTCAAGCTTGCCAGATTTTCCAGCTATATTAAAGCCCATCTGAATTTTGCCTCCTGCACGCCTGGAGTTTTCCAGCCACATGGAAGAAACTGCGTTAAATTGCTCCTATTTTCTGTGGGGGTTTGTGAGATCATCTTACTAACCAGTTGCCTCGGCTATGAATTGTTGCAGAGAGCAGCGTGTTGAATGACTTTTCAGAGCAAATCCAGGCTGGTTTAAAGAACACAGAGAGGAGGCTGCTCCTTGCTAGTTATTTTGAGAATAGGGTAGAAAGAGGATCTAATGTAAATCTCACTGACAGTGTCTTGAGGAAAATCCTGCAAGCTGGAGCATTTAAGTGGTTTGGTTTCTTCTTTGCTTTTATTGGGGGCTTTCGTAGACTGACATGACTGATAGTGAGTACAGCAATAAGAAATGCCAGATGAGCATGGTATTCCTCTTTGGGCCAGGCAGGCTGGAGAGGTGGGATCTGATCGTTTGATCTTTGTTGCTGGCCTTCAGGATCTCCACAGTGATGCCGACTCAGTGTGGCACCATAGCAAATCCCTTAACACCTCTGTGTTTTGATTCACCCAGCTGAGAGAAACAGGGCAGATGATGCACATCTCTTTCAGAACGTTACTTAAAGCTGCATAAATTGCTTTGAGACTGGTGGATGAAAGGTATGTATTATCGTTGCTCTTCCTCCAGGAGCACGGAATGCTGTTACCACCATCAGTAAAGCAGGTCCAGGGAAAATGCCAACTCAGCTAATTCATAGGAATAACTACGGTCGGGTATGGCCTACGCCTAGAGGCATCGCTATCTGAGCAGAATGGAAAGCATCCGCTGGTGACCCCAATTTCTGCTTCTTACAGACAATGAAATAATTAGTGGGCTTGGTGCATGCAGTTCGCTGAAAAGTATCAGCTGTCGAATGTTTCCAGTGTAACACCTCATCCATACTGCCTGTGCGGCTTTGTTCTTTGCTGGAGCGCTTGGGAATGGGCTGGAAGTCACAGATTAAATATTCTGGTGCAGGTTCAGACAGCAGCACATATATTTGCTCAGTACAGTTTCTCCTCTGTTTCAATAAATGACTTCTGCTTTGGACTGAATGGGTACCAATAAACCCATGCTTAATTAGGGTAAAATAACACAATATTTTACCAGCTTCCATCATCCTTACCAACCCAGGCCACTGTGTCTTGGTGTAAAGCATGCAACAGATGCATCACTGCCAGTAGACTCCAGAGGACCATCCAGCACGTGGCCCCGCAGATGAATTCTTTTTTGTGTGCTATCTTCTCAGTTGGGAAGATTTTTATAGAAATACAAGTTTGTTAATCTGTAATACAGCTCTGTGTAAAGGAGAGAGTTCTGCAAATTAGGATTTTAGATATCTGCAGGACAGAGTTTTAATTAGGAATATATTGAAGTACATTGGCAGGAAGGGGTCCAGCAACACATATGGTATGAGCTGGTTTAGGTCAGAAGGTATGCTCAGGCTCTGCACAAAGCAGAGAAGAGTGGATGTGGAGGGGGAGCAGATGGGTCTCTTACTGTGTGAAATTTGGGTACAGAGCTGCACTCTGGGTTAGATGCCAAATCAGTCATATTCTGAAAACAAAACCCTGTTGGGAGAGGAGCCCATAACTTTTTTTTTTAATAGCATCCCCTCAAAAATTTATAGTACTTGGTAGTTAAATATGTAATGGTCCTACTATTATGTGGAATTGAATAACTGTGCTCTACAGAAAGAGGAATTACTTAACCCACTAATGAAATGCAGACATCTCTAGGGCAGGGAATAACTGACAGGGCTCGCAGCACCATGTAACAGTGACGGGAGAGGGCAGAGAGGCTGGCAAGGCCTTCGTTTTATTAAAGGAAGCGATGAGACCTCTATTCTCAACACACAGCAGGTGGGAGGGTGTTTCTCAGGGTCCTATTTGATAGACTGATGCACAGTCACCATGACTGATCCGCTTCTGAAATAAGAAGTGCCGAATCGACCCAGCTCTGAATTCAAGCTCTCATTTGCGGGTGCCAGGCATGGTGTGTGTGATCCCCAATACCCCTGCTGAGACTCCAGATGGGCAGCCTGCTCGGTGGCACTCTGTAGCCTCTGCCCGGGCTGGGCGAGTGCTCCTGGGCTGGCGCTGGGGTGCAGTCCCTCTGATCATCTCCATCCAAAAGCAAGCCCCACAGGTCATGCCCATGCAGTCACTTGTCTGTGGTTAATGCTGGTGGGTTGTCGCTAAATGCCATCCTTCAAGGAGCTGATTTCCATACAGCAAATGAAAGGAGATAGCACGTAATCCAGCTAAGCAAGCCTCTTCCTTTCCAGATGATAGGGAGTGTTTTTACGCTGCTGAATCTTGCAAATGAAGTCTTCAGGGAAATGATCAACAGCGTGGAGTGCTGTGAGACAGGGAAGCTTGCAGAGTGATTGCTGCTTACAGCAGGAGAAGCGGTGTCTGCAGCTGTAGGCTCAGCTTAGTGGCAAAATATGAGCTATTGGAGGGAGGAAAGCAAAGCAGCCAGGATAACCCAGCTGAGGTTGTTATTTCTTTAACAAGTTTCCTTTTCTGTTTACAGTATAATATAATAGACTTTTTTCGCTCAGAGCCCTGTGGGTGCCAGTCATTAGCCATTGCTTGTGCCCTTTCCTCTGAGGTGGCCCCGGAGCCCAGGCCAGGCAGGCTGGTGCCAGGCTCACAGTACCTCTCTCATCAGGGCTGTTTGGATGAACCTCGGGGCTCTCGAGCCTTTTGCACTGCTGGTGGGAGCTGCACTCTGGTCTCGCACCTCCCATTCCTTGTGCATCATGTTAGAGAGTCCCTGCCTTATGTGGCCTCTTCTTCCCCCATGGGTTAACTCCCCAGAGATGCTCAGGTAGCCTGCTCTGCAGCCCACACGTCTCTGGGTACGAGGCTGTGGGGAAAAAGAGACACTGCAGCTCTCTCCAACAACATGAAGGAGATCTTTTGAGGGAAAAAAAAAGAAAAAAGCCAAGTTCAGCCTTGTGCTTCCACCTCTACCCCAGTGTGGGACATATGGAGCCCCACGCCTTTGGGGACTGGTGTGTGAAGGGAGTTCCCTATTTGTACCAGCAGATGATCATGCAGCTGAGAAAAGGAGATTTGCTATTTCTCACCAGCCTGGCCTGAAGGAGAAACTCCTCCTACCCTGGAAAATCCTGAGTGCACCGTCCTTGTGGGAGGCAGGATGGAGCAGTCAGTTCAAGTGCAAGATTCTCCTGGCCAGCCTGGCCTATTAAAGTTCCTGCTATTTTCCTGCTGGTGCTGGTGTGAATTATAGTGCAGACAGACCCGCTGTCCTTTGCTGGAGTTCGTGTCTCTCAGTAACATTTTCTAAGCTGCAGCATTACTGGGTAAAATAGGTCAGAAGTATCACCATGAAAAGAAGGAGGGTTCCTCCTCCAATCTAAGCAGAGCACAGAAAGAGGCACTTGTGTAGCTAATACAGAGTCAACCTGATGGATAACATCCTATCCAGGCACTGTGCAGGGCTATGATTAGAGAAATAACCAGCAAATTGGGCTTGCTCACTGAGAGCGCTAGCTCCCTACAGCTGTGCACTGCTTGATGCAACAAACCCCAGTCTGAATTAGAGCAAAGGAAGGTGTATTCCAGCTGCAATACAGGTAATTTTTTTAACTTAATAAATAACCCCACAGTCTCCTTTTCAGAAGTCTTTTGTTTCTGTCTTGTGTCCCTATAGGAAGAGTGCCAGAACTATGTCCGTGTGCTGATTGTTTATGGCAAGAAGGTTTTTACCTGTGGTACCAATGCCTTTTCACCTGTGTGTTCCAGTCGACAGGTCTGTTTTGCCTCTTTTGCAGTGATGGAGAGGGAGGGATATGTGCTCTGGGGAAGGCCAGTCATTTGGCAGGGTATCGTGACTGCAGAGAACATGTTCCAAATGTAGCAGCTCTGAAATAGTTTTGGGTTTGTTCTTTGGGCCCCTTTGGGTTTCCCTGGGACAGTGGGTGTACCTGCAGGTGGGGAGCAGAAAACTCCTGTTATGGGTGAGCTGGATCTGGACAAAGTGCTGCTCATGTAAACCTTGGGTATGCTGCTGAAAATGGGGAATATGGACAGGCTTAGCTGCAAGCACATCCTGAGCTGAATACTTAAATGTTTCCTTAAAATAAATGGCAAAAGTCACTCTGGATTCAAGGGAGGCAAGAGCAGGTCCAGAGAAGTGCTTATTGTTATACTTTTTAATGCCAGTATACATTCAGGAGGTGTCAATGGAAGATTAGAAACCTGTGCTAGAAGCAGGAGCACCTGATTACATCGAGTGGGTTGGGGCCTACAGGCTTTATTGGCAGGGGACGTTACCCTTCTTACAAAGCAATAGGACAAGTGAGGCTCAGACACAACTTCTTACATTGGCAAACGATGGATATATCAATCAACTTACAGTCACTGCTGACATTACGTTCTTATAGCTGCCTGTTTTTTTAAAAAATAGGGGTTTGCTCGTAGTCATGGGCAAACTGAATTCTCTATACCAGAAAGCAAGCCAGATGCTCTTTAAATTCTCTCCTCTCTCCTTTTAAATACAGGTAGGAAATCTTAGCAAAATCGTTGACAGAATTAATGGAGTGGCTCGGTGCCCGTATGACCCCCGGCATAACTCGACAGCTGTGATTACATCACGAGGAGAACTCTATGCTGCAACTGTAATTGATTTCTCTGGACGGGATCCTGCTATTTACCGCAGCCTTGGAAATGTTCCCCCACTTAGGACAGCACAATACAACTCCAAATGGCTCAATGGTAAAGTCATGTGGGTCATATCTGTACTAAAGTCAACTTGGCAGGCTTGTAAATCTTTTCTTCTGTTTTCATGTTGGGATCCAGAGTTGCGGTGGAGAAGGGCTTCTGGTGCAATAATCAATGCAGCTTAGATGATGTTTAAAAATAGCCTGGAAGTATTTCAAAGCAGTTGATTTAGAATATGGAAAGTGGGTCTTACAGGCTACTTAACATATATATGGGTCTGTCTTGTGAGATGACCAAATACATCCTTTTAACAAGAAAACCACTCAAAGGTTTGAAGATCAAAATGAACGTAAAGCATCGTATTGTTGACCCAGTTCTGCACAGCGTTAAGCACCCTCTGCTTCCACTGACTCAGGTAGAGATGGTTGGTTTCAGTGCCAGATCAGTCCAAAAAATGAGAAATTTCACAGCGAGTTATGTTCCATGTAAACTCATGCTGTTGTGGATTTATAGTTATTAAGAGCAGCTGTTACCCCAGTGTGATAATACCCTGCATCAAGCAAGCTATAGAATTTCAACCAGTAATTCCTGCACTGAGTCCCCACCTTCTGACTGGGGCAAAGCACATCTTGTCAGAGCAGACTGTAGTGATGGAGACTCCAATATTTCCCCTCTTTCCTTTGACCCAGGTAAGTTGACAAGATCTCCAGAATCTTTCCGTTGGATTTCAGGACCTTTCAATCAAAGATATGAGCAGCGGGACTGTGCACTCTCTGTAGCTTAATGAGACTGAACAAGGCTTCTGCAGGCATATTGAAGTCAGCGTGGAGATACGGAGTTTTAGGAGAAGGATGTCATCAGGCAAGACTGTGAATTAGGACCAAGAAGCAGCATAACCCATATACACTCATTAGAAATATGTGCCTCTTGTCTGCACACGAATGAAGAATTTAGAAGGAAGTCACACTGGAACAGGGGAGTTTA